GGGTATCGCTTCATTTCTCATCCTCGTAGTCAATTCTAAATCACTATCTGCCATCATGTTTGGGTAATAAGGAGGTAGTTGAGGATCTTTTAACATTGACTTATTTTCATGTACAGAACTTGGTCCTCCCTGGTTTCTTTTAGTTGTTCCTTCGTAAACAATTTCAGGTTCTTCAGAAGAAGGTTCCAAAGGTGTAGGTTTCATGGGAGTAGGTTCCACGCAAGGAGGTGCCACACGAGGAGGTTCCACAAGAGGAAGTTCCACACGAGATGGTTTCACACGAGGTGGTTTCACACGAGGAGGTTTCACAGCATGTTTCACATGTGTCACTGCAGGTGGTTTCACAGGATGATGTTCCATAGATAAGGATTCCGCAGATGGGATTTCCACAGTGGGCGTTTCCGCAGATGGAATTTCCACAGATGACATTTCCGCAGATGGCATTTCCGTAAACGAAGTTTCCATAGATTGGGTTTGCTCAGATGGTGGTTCCTCTGAAAGAGGTTCCTCTGAAGGGGGTTCCTCAGAAGGGGGTTCCTCAGAAGGGGGTTCTTCAGAAAGGGGTTCTTCAGAAGGGGGTTCTTCAGAAGGGGGTTCTTCAGAAGGGGGTTCCTCAGAAGGGGCTTCCACAGTTGAGTCTGGAGTTCCTTCACAGTTCACTTCAACTATCTCTGAATCTTCACTTAATTCCATTGAACGTCTTATTTCACTATACAAAAGCGATATAACTCTGCTGTGTTTTGATGGACGCTCCACAGGCAAAGATCTTGTAACATTATCACTAATGAAACTCCAAACACCAACAACCCTCTGACAAAAGTTACATTGCAAACTTTTCTCGTTTCGTTTCACCCATCCACATAAACTCAATACCACACAACTAGCTAGTATATCACTGTAAGTCTGTTCCAGGAAGTTCAAAACAGACATCATGAAGGCTTCAGAAATGCCCTAAAACGAAATTGAAAAAAAAAAAAAAAAAGGATAAAATGATGGATTGTTAATAAATAATATTTAATAATTCTATTGTATATATTAACAAAAAAAATAGGTATATATACCATTTTCACCCAGTTGTCTTTGACAATAAGTGGTATAGATGTCTGAAAGGTCATCATATCAGTAAAAGTGACCTTTAAATCCTGAAGACCTCTGAAGGGATTTTTTGGAATACAAAAATATTCTTCTGGTATCGATACATGCAACCATCTGCAGTACTGCTTATGGGATTGTATAGCAATTGTCCTGAGGACATCTCGATTCCTCACTTTTCCAACAAAATAGAAGAAAAATTTGTTAGTATGCAGAGGAAATTTACAAATAATTTCATATTTAAACAAAATAATAAACAACAAAAAAATTTAAATGTTATAAATATTATTGTTTATTGTAACTCAATTTCAAATACCAACAGAAAAATTAACACAGAAATAAAAACGCAATTGCATTGTGCAAATTGGGTGATTTTTATTTCTGTGTTAATTTTTCTTTGTGAACAAATGTCAAAATAGGATTAAAATTGTCTTTAGGGGTTATTTTCAAAGTTTTATTCCTTCCTCTATGGAAATCCTTCCCTCCTTTATGTTAAATTGTACAATATGTTAGAGTACATAAGTATTTAGTGTGTGTGTGTGTCTGTGTATACGTGTGTGTGTGTGTGTGTGTGTCTGTATGTATGTACCCATATTTCTGCAAACACATGCACTACAAACAACTGTGGTTCCCTCTATGCAAACTCGAAGCTTGTGCATTTTCATCTTTTGTGCTTGTGGTAGGAGCCACAAGTGCACTCTCTCACATCGTCCAGCAAGTACCCCCAAAAGCAAAGAACCACTTTCCCAAAAGTTGGTTGTCTACTTCCCATTAAAGACCGAGCAATATAAAATATGTCTGTCACCCCTTCAAAAAATATAACTAGTGAAATCTTTTAGATATACTGATTAAAGTAGAGAACACAATACATCCTAGTGAAGCAAGAATTGGAATTGGGGAGGAACCAACTCCTTTCCTTTTCAATACATTTTTTTTATCACACTCTATTTTCTTGTTTAACAAGACAAAAGAACAAAAGGGCAATTAAAGCAGTACAAAAACTTCTGTCATAGTACATTTCCCTCATCAACTTTATGCAATGTAAGAAACCAAAGCAAAATAAAAAATTTAAATTTGCAATTAATAAATTCAATACAATATTTAATCAATATTGTTTTTCAATCAGCAGTATACACATTTATTTTTATTAAATTATTTATCTTCCCTTAAAAATCAGCAAAGAAAATTAATGAAAGTAATGCCTTTTAATAAATTTCTGATAACTCGTTAATATTCACATAAGCTAATAAATGTAGAAGAATAATACTGCATAAAATTCATACACGTTTGTAATGTATCGCATTAGAAATGGATTTTTATTAAAGCGTGATTTTTAAGATTTTCTATTCAGCAGAGAATTATCATTAATACATTCCTTGCAAGATGATAACAGAATTATTTTTGTAAACAAATAATTATTTCTAGGCATCCTGCACTTCAAGCAAAATTTGCCTTGAAGCACATTTGTGACCTTGTTTCTCATAGTCCACACTTACAAAATACTCCCACGTCAACTTCAATTCCACAACAGCAGCAGCATACTTTGGATCCTGAGACTGCCTTGAAACCATATTTTGACAGAAATATAGCTGCATTTGGATCAGAACTCCAATCTTCAGGTTTGAAAGTGCTAATTCTATTAACAAATCCTTGAAAGGTTACAGAGCGTAGATCAAAACAGGAACCATCAAATTTTAAATTCCTGTTATTAGAGAAAAAAGAATCAGGGTCTACAATAATAATAATAATAATAATAATAATAATAATAATAATAATAATAATAATAACAGCAATAGTAATAAGTAATTAATAAAACACTAATAAAAATTATTAAATGGTGATTGAAATCCTAAAGCGTATCATATCAAACAAAAAAGTACTTTTATCAAATAGAGGTATGATCAAACAATTATTTTACACTTTAACAAAAGAAATAGCATGCTAATTCTCATCTACCTACACAAATAACTAGTGACTTCAGCCACATATTCTATAAAAAAATCTCTATTCTAGAACATAAGGGAAGTAATTTTCACAGTAAACAGTAAATTTCAAACTTTAAATAATAAAGTACCTTCGCCCAAAACAGACATAAACAATAAGGATCTCCGGGGAAAAAATTGTGTAACTGGCACTTAACCAGCAAAATTTTAGATTGAATAAGTTCTAAGAAGATAAAGAATATGATGTTATCACTACAATATTTATAAACATTATTTAAATAATGTGTTACGCACAGCTGATAAAAGATTTTACAAACATTTCCAAAATGAAAACATTTACATTTTCTTTCAGATCATTCAAGAAAACAATACAAAATATATCTTGAATGTTCTAGGAGTAGTACAATTATTCTTTAACTTTACTACTATTTATATCAAATTCCAACTAAAAAAATGAAATAAACAATAATTGCGTTATTTACTTGGTGATATCACATACTAAACAATTAGACCAGAACAGGCAAAACAAATTTATTTTCAGCTATCAATAATATGAGTAAAATTAAATGCATCACTATAAATATATATTGGTTAATACACAAATAAACTGTATTCAATAAATAATCAAAAAGTTATAATCCGTAATTGCAGAACACACAACCAAACTTCAGCAAAACATATAGCAAGGAAGATTCATGTGATTATGATTCATTAAATGTTTAAGAGACAAGTATGATATAATTAAAGAGTAACTAACCTTCCTCCTTGACCAAATGGATCATCTTTAGACCAAGGTATAGTCAATGTATCAAGAATAGTCTTAACTTTCTCTGCAGGATTCATAGTTTTCTTTAAATATGTGTTTCATAAGTGAAGAATTTGAGGGAATATGAGAAACTGCATTAAACCTATAACAAAATAATTATAATTCTGAAACAATACTTTAGATTACAAAAAATCAATCGATTACAACATGTTGCCAAACACAAACCCTTAAGCAACATCCATTGTTACATACAAGGAATTAACAATCAACATATCTTATTTCACATCCATTAGAGAGATATTTTCCACAAATACAATTTCATCAGTCTAATTTAATTATTTTCCAGCACATATAGATGTGATACATTCAATCCCTGAATTACAAATCCACAATTACTTTTAACTTACCAGAAAATAAATGATTTTATTGCATGTTAATTACGTTATACTTATATACAAGCATTATTAATAAAGGGCACACAACAAAATTAATCACCCACAACCAAAGAATTTGGAACTTAACCGAACGAAATCTATTCAGATATCAGAAACATCAAAACTAATCTCGTTTGAATTTTTGAGGGAAGTATTTAGGATGTTGGGACAAAGCAAAAATTATTTATGATTCATTAAGATAGAAATAGAAGTTAGGCCTTTTTAAATCCATTGTAAATGTAAAGAATATTGCAGAATCCACTCTATCGACGTATGATGCACCTCACATAACCTCAATATAATATAGTATTCAATAGCTGAAATTATTTTGATGTATTGGTCATGAAGGAAAATATTTACATACTTGAAAATTTAAATTGCACCGGTTGCAAATGCGTTGGGGAAAATGCATTAATGTCACTACTTCCTCATTTCAAGTCACATAGTACCGCGAAACCAAGCCCTTTTCACGAGTCAACCATAGATCATCTGAGACATCTCTTTCTCAGAGAAAAGATATTGTCACTTACACCGACAATTAATTTTTGCTACAGTTCCTCATTTTAATTCTGGATGAAAAGAACATTCTCCAACAGAGCATTGAAAAAAGTTCGAGAAAAACTATGCAACAATTACTGAAGCACCCGCCATCAGAAGATGAACGCTATAAACAAGGACGAATGTTGTTGCCGTGTAGTTAAACACCAACATGGAGAGAAATAAACCGGCCAAAATTCCAAGAGTTTCTATAAAAATCGTACGTACTTGTTGACATTCCCACAATGTTGCTGCAACAAATATCTGCGACAACTATTATCTCAGCGGTTGCAAAACATTGGGGTAATTTCGTTCCACATACGTATGTTCACAATACCGTTCGTTGTCATCACAAAATGTGAGATGCAAATTTACTTCCACAGTTCATGATCTAGAACTGCGCATTAATATGCTCGTATATTTCTGGCTCATGAAAGGCTATGAGAATAAATTGGGAAACGATAAATTCACAATATAAATCAAGAATAACTCACACCTTGAGCTAAACTAGCACACACTTTCTCGCATTACTTCTAATTATGCAATTTTTAAAGAGCTGATTTTTTACAAGACTTTGTTTAAATCACAACTCGCCATCTCCAATTTTGTAGTTTTCAAATATGAACTTTCTGCAATTTCCGAAATAACGGAGAGTTCGCCAAAAATGGGACAGGCACCATATTTACTACCGCCTTTATTACATACAAGGAGAAAATTTAAAGAAAAAGTCGAAGCGGTTTTTAAGGAAACATTTGCCTCTATTTCGCGCAAAATTACACGAAAACTACTTTCATTTTAGAAAAATTGTAGATGACTTTATATCACGATCTGTGTTTAAGTAGCAGATTTCATAAATAATAAAATCTTCACCGGTTGAATTCTATTTTGGGTTTTGAATGTGAAGCCCTATATAGCGCATACGGTTCCCAAGAGTGTGTCAAGGCGGCTCCACACATTCGTCCAGAGAGTATATTCGGCGACCGCTCGCTCAATCTCGAACAGCCAATGTGTTCAGCAAATGTTGGCTCCCTTTGATGTGTCCTAAAGGCCGACGCGAATGGGGCGAATACCGAACGTTCGGTGCTCGGCGAATCGCTAGCAACCCGTCCACACTACTCGAGATTAGCCGAATGCCGCATGTATGAAGCCGCCTTCACCGGCACCTCCGTCACCCCTCTGAAGCCGAATGGCCAACGTCATCGCCGGTGGTCTTGAATCGGCGATCGCCGGCAGCATTAAGAAGACTCCGGTCACCACCGGCAGTCTTGTAGCGAGTGTCGTTGAGTATTATAGTTGTCGATTCTAATCTCTGTTTTCTCTATACGTAGAACCTGCTTTGCCCCCTTAGAACATTCTTCAGGTTCTTTGGAGCGAGATTTTGGATAACAACCCCTTTGCTGACGCACTTTGGATTTTCATCTGGTTTTGTGGCACAACACGGGTCGTCACACGGTACGCTCTTGAATTCGGCTTGCTCGCACCGCGTGACCAGCCGCCCCATTCGGGCGGTTTCCGAATGCCTGGAGGCCAGGTCATCCCGTGACATCGCTCACGGGCGCAGCACGCGCCTATGCCGCTACCGACCGCCACGTCACGGCGAGGCCACGCCGGCCCGGCGCTCGTCCAGCTGGGAGTACTTTGCCGTCGGCCTTTCCCCACGGCCGCGTCCAGCATTCCCAGACCCACGAGAGCTACGTCACACCAAGGTTGTAAGCCGCCTCGACGGCCTTACACGCTACAGCCGTATTTAAATGTATACGGCCTCCGAGCCGTATGTAACTGTAATACAGGTAATTCAGTCTTCGTTGCTAATACGCTAAAACATTATCCCCTATGTAATGTACAGACTGAATTTGCCAAAATTGGATACTCTACGTCGTTTAGTTTTGTAAATAATTAAGGTTAAACATTGGGCTATGCGCTTGTGCTCGGGCTACGATAAGTAAGCGAGAAGCTTCATCTCGCGTTAGGGTTCGCCACTTCTATGGAAAACCCAATTGCTAATACTAACTGAGGCGCCCCGGAAGCGAGCACGAGACAAATAGCGCGTGAGGTCAACGTATCATACTCACTCGTATGGTGCACAATTCATGCGGAGATATTAAGACTTTTATATTTCCAGTGTGTGTGCGGCATTTGCGTAGTAGACACTTATAAAGTCGTTTTCATTTCTCTAGGCATTTTCTGCGCATATGCAATTAAAACCAGGAATTTCGTTCTTTGGTCAGTTGAAGCGTATTTTACATAACTGGCACAATTAATGTGCACAGTTTACTTGTGATAGCCGAGCAAAATCCATGTGTTACACGTAGTGTAGCTTACCAAGAGCCAATCTCTTTAAATATATCGGTTGGCATCGTGGATGAGTTTATCGTCGGTCCTCACCTCTTACCCAAGCGTTTAAGAAGAGTTTAGTATCTAAATATTATGACTTTGGTACTCCTAACGCTTTTGGCGCTAGGGATAAATAAAAGATCGCGGTTATGTTACCGAAGTCTGGGATCATGATGACCTCCTCCGGTGCATTGAAAGAGTGGCAACATAATTAAATTTACAACCCGGCAAAATTGTGCGCGTCACGGACGCCGTGCGGCCCAGATGCCTACCTTGCGTTCAACCAGAAGGCCAGTTTGAAGACTTGTAGAGCCCTTTTTACACGACGTGAAAATGAAATTTTGGCTGCATTCGCAAATATCATAAAGTACCCTACTTAACACTGAAATAATAGCTTTTCTCTCTCCTTTCATATTAGTTAGATAAGAAGAAAATACTAGAATAGAAACAAGGAACAATATTTAATGTAATATTTTGGCTACCGGTTTTACAAAACTCGACCAATGGCAATTTTTTTTTTATTTTTAAAAATTGGACTACGGACTATTTCGTTTTGCAGTCATGAATGACTTAGTGTACTTTATTACCGGGTCGTGTGTGAGCAACGAAGACTGAATAATCCTATATATTGTTGTACGGTGAATAAACTGTGTTTTATGAGTTTGATCAAACTCTGGTTTATTCAAAAACGCAACACAATCTTCAACATTTGAGTTGTAGGAAGATGTCAAAAAACTGAAGTTTTGCAATTTTGGAAACCTTGGAATTTCAACGAAGAGATGCACCATTCTCGTAAGCTATCCAAAGACAAAATTTATTAAAAAATTTGGAGCCATTTTTGAGAAAACATTGAAAATGTTTTTGAAACTTCGTGTAAAGTACCCTCAAAAATCAAAATATCCTATTGAAACTCCTAAAGCCTCGAGTTCGTTCAGATCGGCCGTGAAAAATCAATTTTGAAGAAAATCGGGTGAACGATTTAGCCCAGGGTTTGTCAAATCAATTTTCTATGACGCCACAAAACTCTGCTCTCCTGCTCGGAAGCGAGCTGAGCAAAGCCAGTGCCGCGGTCGCGGCGTCAGCCGAAGTGTTCCAATGATGGTACGGAAGTGGGGGAAAGAGGTTCGCTCGAAAATTACGTTTTTAAATGGTAATTTTTATTTAAATGTTTATTATTCAATAAAAATATGAAAAATTAAAAAATGGAGGATGGATTATTTCATGACGGAAAGCATTATACGACTCTATTTATCGCAACCAATTCTGTAATTCCACTTCCATTCTTCCAACACATAACATTTTTGGAGAAGATAGTTTTAACACTCTAATGCAATATTTTATACAATGTTATATAATATAACAATTTTAGTTCATCCCGAACCAATAACATAGGCACACAAAATAAAAAGTTGTAAATATATAAAAGAAAAAATACCCAAAGACTTGATACATGTTTCTCTACGTATGCCAACGCACTGAAGCTAGAATTGTGCCACCATTCTCCAGTTTTTTTCGCGAAAAACCATCGTGACATTGTATTTTTTGTTTTCGAGGGTTGTTGTCAGACCCAAGATATGAGATACGTTTCTTTATGTATGTCAAAGTGCTAAATCCGAATTCGAAGCCAGAATTGCCACACCGCCATCCAGTTTTTTAATTGCGAAAAAACAATGAAATTTACAATTTTACGATGGTTTTTCGCAATTAAAAAAACTGGAGAGTGGTGGCGCACTTCTGGCTTCAGAATAGAATTAAAGCCTGTGTAGTTAATGTTAACAAATATATACCCGGGAGGGGTCACGTGGGAGAATTTGGACTCCACGCTTCATTATTTGTACAGAATAGGTTTGTTTGAGATTGTTGTATATCCTCGTGATTTTCAATTCCTTTTCCATAATCTTCTGTCTGCAAAATCCTTTTCTAATTTCATGATTGCAGGCTATCTGCAAATTCTCAGAAATTATTTTCATCTCGCGGGTTCCTCAGAGTTGCAACGCTGCGTAATACGGTATCTACAAAAGGAAACCTTTCTTACCAAACCGAAAAAAAAAAAAAAAACGGAAGTAGGTGGTATCCCACTCTTGTTCCCTGAAACACCAGCAAATGCATCTGGCTTTCGTTATCAGCGAACGCCGTCTGCTCGTCCCTCACCCCTATGTTTCGCACCGCTTCGCCGAGACGGCGCTCGCGGGGGGAAAGTGAGCTCCGACGTCATATCTCCGCCAGTTGGCAAAAGCTGATTTAGGCGCTAGCGTTGACTGCAGATGGATAGAAAGACGTTTTGCCGTCAATCATATTACGGTAACAAGGACCAACAAAACAATGAGTCTAAACGACGAGTTAGAGGAAATAATTCACTACGTAGGAAACTGATTTATCCATTTTTTTGTTATTAGGGCCCAACAATAAGTGTTTTCGGTCCAGAATTTCCCGCCCCACGATTACAATACTTTCTCTTCGCACTAAGTAAGGGCAAGAAGTAAAAATAGTGGTGCTGGAACGGCACACACTTTCTAGCATTAATTTTAAATTTGCATTTTCGAAAATTCAGTGTGTTCAACGAAAATGAGACAGGCGCCATTCATTTAACCGACCCCTATTCTATTCATGGTAAAAATTGGTATGACTTTTGAGCAAAAAATATTTAAACAAATTAAAATTGGCCTATATTTTGGGCAAAACTACAAGAAAACAACTCATATTTTTCAAATATTGAACATGATTTTATTTCAAGATTTGTCTTTAAAGAACAGTTTTCATCATGGAAAAAATCTCTATCTTCAATATTATTGTTGTAAGTAGACGCGGTAAAATTACTCTTTTCAATTTTCGAAAATCAGAGATTTCAACGAACATGATTCCCGTACCAATCTCTTAAGCGACCCTGAAGTTATTCGAGGACAAAGTTTAATAAAAACAATTAGCAACCATTTTCTGAGACAATTTTGAAAATGTTTTTGTGTCTGTACATAAAATACCCTCAAAAATCAAAATACTCGGTTGAAATTACCAAAGCCTCGAGTTTT